CTCATGCCGAAGTGGCTTAAGCTTTGTAGTGCAGTGCTTTAACCCGCTGCGCCACCAGGGAGGGCCGTCTTTTTTTTTTAATAGAAGAATTGGGGTGCAGGCCAGAGGCGCAGTGGTAAGAGGATTCACCAGAGACAGAGCAGAGAGAACAGGCAGATCTGCTGAAATCCACTGCTGAGGGGAGCAGTGGGTGGGACAGGAGAGATCTGCTGCACCACATGGGTCAGCTCCCTGGCCAGGGATCAAACTCAGGCTGCAGCGGTGATAGCACTGAGCCTTAATCCATTGGCCACCAGGGAGAGCCTAAGAAGAATTTTTTATCTGCATTTAATGACGTTGAAACTGAGGCTCAGAGAAGAGAGGAAGAGAAGCTGGTGCTTGGGTATCCAGCGCCTGTCACCTGCCTCTCTCCCTGGCACGGATGGGAAGATCGTGTGCAGGGGAGCCCTCCGCAACCTGGAGGAAGCCTATTTCTGGAGCTGTTCCTGCCCCGGTCCGCAGCCCTGGAGCCTGTGCAAAGGGCCAGCCTGCAGAAGCCCAGCACCACAGGGCAGAGGAGCCTACATAGCGAACTCCCTTGGGCCCAAACCCCTTCTCCTCCAGGTCCGGAGTCCTACTCGGCAGACTCTTCTCTGGCTCTCCTCCCTACAACCCCGTCACCAGCCTGAACTCTCTAGAGAGGCCCCAGTGTCTGCATGCTCACCCCAGCTTTGCCCGTCAGCTCTCCCGACAGCCAATCCCACCGGGATGGGGAGAGGGCTTCAAAAACAGATGTGGCCTGACCTTAACTGCAGGCAGCTCTAGGGCCATTTGAGGAATAGAACCATTGTCCTTATTTGAGTCCCTTAGAGGAAAGCAACATTAGTGAAAATGGTAACAAATCCACCTTCACTTTTTAAATTTGTGTTTGGTTCAAGTCCCTGTTTATACCTACTATTTGCCCAACATATATATTTTTAAAGCTGAAAGCAACACAGTGAACAATGGCTTGTCCTTATTTTACAGATGAGGACATGGAAGCTCAGAGAGGTTAGTAAACCGCCCAAGGTCACACAGCATGGAAAGCCCAAATCTAGTACATCTGACCAACTGCGAAGTCTACGCTTTTAACCAATTGTACAAAACTATGTGTGTTCCAATGATTATGCATATCCTGCCACCCCAGTGGAGAGTATATGTTATAAAAACAGAATAGTGTGGGCATCAAGTAAACACAACATCCTGAGGAGTATGGAAAGGTCCAGGCATCCTGGACTGACTCCCTGTGCACCTCAAGTGAACTGTATGGTACATCCCTCATCTCCCTGAAGCTGTTCTTCTTCCTCTATGAAGTAAGAATAATAGTTCTTACAACAGGGTTATTAAGATAATTAAATAAGATGTAAAGTTCCAGGAACATAGTAGTTGCTCAATAAATAGGATGTAGTCAACAAGCATTTATTGTGCACCCACTATGTGTCAACAAGGGCCCCTGGAGAGCAACTCGGTACTGTGCCCTGCCAGAACCACCACCCAGAACCTTCCCAAGGAGAGATCAAACTAATCAGAACTCACGGGAAAAGAGCCTTTCTTTGAATTTTGATGTGATCACTTGGGTTGTAATAACCAGGTCCCGGGCCTGTTGCTATCAGTTTTGATCCACGGTTAGTTTTTGATTTAAAACAAGACATTAATATCTTTGGTGACTGCTTCACAAGGGAGTCATTGATGTTATAATGCCCTAGAAAAAAAAGAAAATTTTAAAACAGAATAAGGAATAGACCTCAAAAAAATACAAAGCAGTACCTTATACTAAGAATACACTTAATGACACTAAGGTGCTTGAAATAACTACAAATACTATTTACCATTTAGGGCACACATGCTGTGGACCTCACATACTTAGCCACCCCATCTCCATGGCAGCCAGCAAGATGGGTGTGACCCCTTCTACTGTAAGCAAATTGTAAACAATTTGCCAAAACATTTCTTCTAGCCAGGGACTAACCAGCCTTCCTTCTCTTTAAAGATTATTCATTAGTCCAATAATTGAGTGGTTATGATAGTTGAATAACATTTTGATTCCTGGTTTATGGTAGATGTTTAGTAAATAGGGAATCAATAAATATTATTGAGCACCTACTATGTGGGCCACCAGTCTCTGAAGCGTAGGCTTTCCCACCAAGCCCTGATTCAAAAACTGACAGTCCTGGTAATGATACATACAAGTGCTCTGAAAGTGAAGGGGGGTGGAAAAAGTAAAATACAGCTTATAAGACTATACATACTATAATGACATCTTTGTACAGACTGAAACAGCTGAATAAAACGTAGAAACAGTTACATTAGTGGTGGCAGTTACATTGTGGGTGAGAAAGGTATTTAAAATTTTCTAAACATTGGAAAGTTCATTTTGTTTTAAATAAAATGTATTTCTTCAATGCAAAAGTACTAAAAACAACAATATGGACAATATAAGCAGGGTGATATTTAAAGGATCAACCCAGTGAAGACAAAGGTGAGGGGAAACAGGTTCCTCAGAGAAGCAGGATGGTAAATTATTCCTGTGCTGAAGGCAATCTGGTCATAAATATTAAGAACCTGAAATACTTTGCATACTTTTAGCAATTTCCCTTTAAGCAAGTCCAATAAGGAAATAATCTTGATTGTCTATACTACAAGCAAGTTCACTACCATTCATATTAACAGCCACTTTAAAACAACCTAAATTTCCTAAATTTTATGAACTGCTATGTGATGGAATACTACACATCCATTAAAAAGGATGTGCTACAAAGATTTTTAATAACACAAAGAGATGTTTAATAAACAGCATTTATAGTACTGGTCTCTATCTCTCATATTATTTCTCCCTTTTTCATATATATGTATATTCCCCCCATCAAACAGAACAGTGTAGCGATGCTTGATTATAAAATGCTGATAGGTAGAAACAAAGGTAAAAAGACACTTATGCCCCCCCCCCCCCGCCCCAGCCCAGAGCAAACAGAAGCTAATCTTCTGGTGTATTGACTTCCAGACCTTTCATGGTGTCAGGCTCACATTGTGGATTTAATTCTGTAACCCACATTTTCAACTGAGCCTTTTAATGGGGACACTTCCCTGTGTTCTATTTTTCTTTTTAAGGGAAGAGAGAGGATGGCATTGTGATGCGCTTGGCAAGTCTAAACTCAGAAAACCCAGCCAGCAAAAGTGTGAAGCAGCATTTTGCTCAGAATTGAAGGTAGGCAGAACCCTCAGTGGCACAGCAAGGGTGCCCATCACAGCTGGTTTCCTGGGAGTGAGTGAGCAAAAAAACAAGGTTATTTCTGAGATTGTTTCTTGCAGAGCAGCAGATTCTCCAGGCTCTGCCCCTGGCAATTTGAGGAGAGGGGAGGAGAGGTGGAGGGGCAGGCTGAGGCATGGAGTCTGATGTGCTTAATTCAAATCCAGCTGAGGCCCTGTGGGGGTGTCACCTGCTTTCTATGTGTCATCCTTTTCCACCTGTACAAAGGGGATTCAATAATGATATGCTTTCTGATTGCATGGTTACGTTCAATGGGGATTTGGAAGCATTCAGCACTATAACCTCAGTCAAAGAATGGAAAGCCACAGGCACATAGTAGGAGCTTAACAGATATTCTCTTTTCCTGCTCACTTAATGAGGAGCTTGAGGGTCCCTTGGGAGGGCACGGGTGCAAGTGATGGACCTGAGGTCCCCACAAGCCTCGGGTCCTGGCGGGGCCTCTGGCCAAACCTCAGGGATCCCGGCTTTGTTCTCCTGTATAAACAAACAAGTGGGGTTTTGCCTGTGGATGATGCAAGGCAGGGGAGCTTCAGCCGGGCTTAGCCTCCTAATTAGGGCTGGTTTTGTTATTTGGCTTCAGACTGATCTTCTCAACTTTAATCTGGATTTGCTGAAATGTGACATGCAGCAATTTAATCCACACCCCCATCTAAGAGGCGTGATCACAGAAGCAAACCCGCCCTCCTCCTCCTCTGGGCTCTGGGGGCCCAGGCTTCCCGGGGGTCTGCAGGACCCGTGTGGGCAGGTGCACTGCAACTTACAAGGATGCCGTGGGCACACAGAGCCTCCCCAGCCCTCTCTGGAATCTTCTGCAGCAGCTGGGGAGGGGGTCTGGGGCCTGTCTCTGGGCCCCCCAGGAAGGCCCCCTGTGCATTCCCGAGGCACAGAGTGACAAAGGGGGTGACGGCGCCCTCCGCAGACACTGGGTGCAGGTCTGCCAGTGACTAGAGGCATGATGCTAACCAAGTCGGGGGGCTCTGAGTCTCCATTTCCTCACCTGAAGGCAGGACTGAGCGCGGGCCTAGGAGGAACGGTGTCCTCCACCTGCTGTCTGGATGGGGGCTCCCACGGGCAGTGGGGGCAGAAGGATCCCCAAAGCCTAAGGCCCCAAGGAGACATGGTCTCAAGAATGGGGCGCCCCGCAGATCCCGGGGGGCGCATGCATCGGGGTCGACAGTAGGGCAGCCACTTACCTGGCGCAGGTCCTGTGCCAGTGCGAATGTAAGGTCCCCTCTGGGTCTTTGACACAAACCCCGCTCGGGCACTCACATTGTTACTCTGTTTGCAGCAAGAGTCAGAGGCCTGGGGGAGAAAATAAGCAGGGTGGGCGCTGTGCCTGCCTTCCTCGTCACTGCGCCTGCGCGAGGGACACTGTCACCTCCAAAAGTCAAATTCAAACCTGGCCTCAGAAAGTGAGCTGACCCTGAAATTGGAGCTCACCCTCCTGTGGCCTCAGCAGCCCGTGATGGGTGAGCTTGCCATATGCTGGGGACCCACACAGCCGAGAGGTCTGTGTCCCCCAAAGTCCTGTGCCCCCCCCCTCGCTCCTCTGCACTTGAATTTCCTGGTCTATGAGATGCTTGATGCGGTGTACGGGGAGGGTGGGGCCTCAGCAACCCAAGGACAGTGTGTAAAAGCATGTAACGTTCTATGTACACATCATTTTTTCCCCTATGATTTTTATTCATCTCTGGATGGAGCCTACATAACCCCACATAGTCCCACTCTGATTCCTGGGGATTGAAAGTCCTCTAACCGCAGGGCTTGGAGATACCAAAAAAAATCATGTAATTTAAGATCACGATCAGATTTATAAACATTCTCTTGTCTCAACTTGCCTGGCCTGACCAGAAATTAAAAATTTTGGTTAAGCCAAAAAACATACAATCGAGAGTGTCCATGACATGGAGAACTCTAAAAATAATAGACGGAAAAAGAAAAAGCCCTGAGATCACTCTTTGGTGGCATATGAATCCTAAATATTTTAAAGGCTGATTCGCAGTCAGTCTCCTGTATTTTAGATAAAAGATGCAATAAAAATCGGGCCAGTGATCGCTGGGGATATTTACTGAACGGGTGAAACTATTGTGAAACTATTTGCTGGGGCCACGACATCTGATTTCCCGACATCTGATTTTCCCTGATACCACTTTGTAAAAAAAAAAAAAAGTTCCTGAAGAAATGCAGATGGCATTTTGATTCAGTGTTTACAAAGGCAGAGGAATTTAGCTTTTACCGGGGTCCTCGGGCCAGACTGCTGCAGAGAAGGCAAACAAAAGATCAGGTGGAGCGGGCTAATTACTGGCCGAGGGAGAGGAGCCAGGATGCCTGAGAGGAAGTAATAACTCGGTGGCAGGGAGAAGGATTCCCGCTGAGCGGCCGGGACCCGCAGCTGAGGCACACAAAGGCCCTGGCGGACCTCGAGGCAGAATGGCTAACAGGATTATCTCGCCCCTACCCCTCTCCCGCCACGCGGCCATTGTTCTCCAGCTCTGAAGAAAGCCTCCTGTAGACAAAACAGTACTTCAGCTTTATTCCGCACCCAGACAGAAAGCGACTGCATAAAGCAGCATTTTTTTGTCTCTGCTGAGTGTGTGTCACTGGCGGTTCAAAGTGATGGGAGCACGTGGCTGGCACTGGGGGGAGGGGACCCAAGATAGCAGCAGACTATGCAGGGTCCCTGGACAGCAGCGGGAGCCGAGGGAGGGAGGAACCGGGAAAGGAAATCCACCCGTGGATTTGAGGGTGTGCGGCACCTCCACGTTCTAGGTTGTGGGTTTCTGCAATGCTTGCTTTTGTGATGAGCGTGTGTTATTTTCAGAGTGACATTAAAACAACAATGAACAAAGAACATGCAACCTGAACCCCATCTCTTGGCAGGACTGGGTTCTGGCTTGAGACTCAGTCACTTCTAGACTACTAGCCCTGCGTGCCTGAGAAGGCATTCCCGAGACGTCACAGCCCTTCCTACCAGGCAGCATCTCAGGACCTGCGTTGCCCCAGAGCTCTGAAGCTGGGGAAGGAGCGCACAGGAGCGGGGAGGCCCACACTCGCCTGCCCTCTGCTATAATCAGGGGGCACTGGCGTGGCGCCGGCCCTGTGTCTCCTGAGTGGCCTGGACCACTCTCAGGGATGGCAAAGGCAGAGTGGCCTCCCTTGTCACTTTTGTGCACCAGGTCTCAACCTCTCTTCTATCAGGTTAATCTCCTGTTTTTCCAGAATCCACTGACTTGCTGTCTATCCTCCAAACAGCAAAGGAAATTTTTCTTAAAAAGTGTATCTGGCGAAATCACCCACAGGTCACAATGCACAGGGTACAAACACCTTCCTGGGATCTTTAGGGCCCTGCTTGAGTGACCCACGCCTATCTGTGTGACCTCACCTCCTCTCTCTCCTCTGAGTTCTTGCCACTCTAGCTACTTCCTATAGTTCCCTCGGGGCTAAGCTGTGAGTCACCCCAGGACCTTTGCACCTTTGTTCCCCTCACTCCAGCTCTTCCTTCCATCTTTGGGTATCAGCCATGGGGCCTGCTCCATGGACCCCATCTAAAGTACAGAGGAAATGCCACCCCTCACCCACCCACATATTCTCTCAGGTGCCAACGATTTGTCTCCCTCAAAGATGACCCGCGTTTGTAATTATTTTGTTTGTCTATGTACTACTTCTTGTCTGAGCTCCCCGGCGGAATCTGAGCTGAATCACAGTCTGGCACAGAGCAGTTGCAGGACCAGTGACGGGAGCCACACATGGTCAGGACACAGTGACTGGCCACGCTCCAGCTTTATACTGCGGCCATCTGTCTGCTCATGTGCAAGTGGCCCTTTCAAGCTGGAAACTTTGGGCAAGTCCCTTCACCTCTTTGAGTTTCAGCTTCTTCTGTAAATGGAGAATAAGGTAGTCATGGACTCTAGGGAAAAGTAAGGCGAACATGTCACTCTCAAACCAGCACATAAACCATGAGAAGTGCCTCTCCATCATCATGGTCATCACTATTATTTTCAGATTTTAATTACTCCTGAGGAAGACTATCTAGAGCTGTGCGGTCAAGACGATAGCTACTAGCCACACGTGACTCTTAAGCACTGGATTCAGGGCTGGCCCAAATGAAGATGGGCTGCAAGTATCAAATATACACTGGGATTTTTTTTTTAAAGATTTATTTATTTATTTGTACAGAACTGGGGTACAGGCCAGAGACGCGGAGGGTGAGAGGATTCACCAGAGACAGAGTGGGGAACAGAACAGGCAGATCGACGAAGTACACTGCTGAGGGGAGCAGCGGGCGGGTCAGGAGAGGTCTGCCGCGCCATGTGGATCTCCTCCCGGGCAGGCGGGGATCAAACTCATGCGGAAGCGGCTTAAGCTTCTTTGTGCTGTGCTTTAGCCCGCTGCGCCACCAGGGAGGGCCCTACACTGGGATGTTTTTATAGACTTAGGATGATGAAAGCAGTGTAACGTATCAAACTCATTTTCATATTGATAATATTTTTACTACACTGGGTCAAATAGAATCTTATTAAAACTCATTTTGCCTGTTCCTTTTGACTTTTTAAAAAATAATGTAATAGTTTATTTTTACATTATTTTGTGCTTTTTCCCATCTCAGTTGTAATCCCCGTGGGCTTCCCTCCCTTTGACTTTTAAAAGTGGCCACTAGAAAACTTGAAGTAATATAAGTGACCCTCATCATAGGGCCAGCACTTAGCCAGTACCAGCTTAGCAGGTACCCACAATCCTTTGAGCAAAATTATTTTGATGGGCTCAATCACAGAGGGTGACCAGGCTTTTTTTAGTCAGAAAAATAGTATTTCTAATTATTATAAAAGAAAAAAGAAATTAAAGGGGAAGTATTCTAAGAAAAATGAAATTAAAGGGGAATTATTCTAAGGCCGAATTGTTTTTAAACGTGGCATCACAATATTAGTACCTTACATACAATTCATGTCTTATGCATTTCAAAGTGCTTTCACGTTCGCTGTTTCATTTGCTTCTTATAATAACTCTGTAGGGAAAGTATAATTAATTCCATTTTACTACTGAGGCTCAACTGGTAATGAGAGGCAGTACTCTTCACCTACATGGATTATGAAATCCCTGTGTGCCAGGTGCTGTACTAGGCATTCAGCATAGCTTACTTATGTCTGCATTAACACTACGAAATAGACACAGCCCCATTTTACAGATCAATAAACTGAGTCCTCAAGTTAAAGGACCTGCCCAAAGCCACACAGATAGCAAGTAGCACAACTGATATTTGAACTAAATTTTCCTGAATGCAGCTGCTACCCATTAATTATACCATTCTACCTCAGTGACTAAAACATGATTGTAATTAACAGGGCAATACTGTTTAAAAAAAAAAAAGATTTTCTGATATGGAAAGAGTTTATTTTCCCTATAAGAACCTAAAACAGGCCCTCCCTGGTGGCAGCACTGCAAGCTGGCTGTAGCCGCTTTAGTGCGAGTTCAATCCCCCACCCTGGAGGTGACCCACGTGGTGCGGCAGACCTCTCCTGACCTGCCTGCTGCTCCCCTCAGCAGTGTACTTCATTGATCTGTCTGTTCTGCTCCCTACTCTGTCTCTGGTGAATCCTCTCACTGCCCCTGCACCCCAGATCTGAATGCATAAATAACTAAATCTTGAAACAACAACAAAAAAAGAACCTAAAACATAAACAGTGTCTACACATATGGAGATAAAGAATACACTCATTGTTACAGATGAGGAAACTGTCCCAGGAAGATTTTATGAGAGGAAAGCTTACAAAATTAATATTTATTACCTTGGAAGTATTTTCTAGGGTCACCGACTTCCCACTGCTCCCTACTAACCTCCAGTTTGCCCACAATTTTTTCTGGGTTCTGTAATTCTCTGGGTATTTTACAGTCTTATGTACACATTGGGCAGTCAAAAAAAAAAAAATGCTGGCTGGTTTACCAGTTGTATTAACATGCTATTTCCCAAAGCTCCCTCCCCTCAACTTCTCCTTTATTTAATTCAACTACTGACTTAATATATATTTAGTAAGCTTAGGGGACGTTCTTACATTATAATGGTTTGGTGCAGGAGTTTCAAATCTGAGGACTTTTGCAAAGCTTGGCAACTGGAACATACTGGAACAGGAATTACTGAAGTCTTTCTTCGATACCAGATGCGACGGGATAGTGTACGCATTGGCTGCAGGATATTTGGAAATGATGGTGTCTAATCGGGCACGCTGTGAAAGGAAAGCACAAGGAATCAGCACTGTCAGATACTGTTGTGACTCTGAAGGGCAGGTATTTCAAAAGTTGATGCCCAGCGCCAGGTCTACAAGCATTTTATAAGAGGTGAAACTCCAGCAGGTAGCAATGATGACAAACTGACCTCAGACTTTAAGGACTTGCTCTTGGAAAAAGCAAGTTCAGACCTGCAATAACTTCTGTAAACTAACTCAAATTATTCACCTTGTGTTTGGGACTTGGCAAAAATAATTTTGCCATAAATGCATTCCACCCAATCCCATTTCAGGCCACTTGCTCTTGACTCATCAGCTGTTGGGTAATTTATATGATGGGAAACTTTAGACTGTTCTTCCTGCAACGTAGGCTTTTCTTCTGAGTAAAACCTCTTGTTTCTAAGGTTAAATAATCTGAATCACCTAAATGACAAGTTTGCTTCGAATGTCTTAAAGGTACAAAGCCCCACAGCACTTACTAACCATCATGTCTCCTAACCCTGCTTCATTACTGGTTTCATAAAACTTATATTTTTGCTGTTTTAACAGTCAATCTTACCCCTTGCAGGAAGCCATGACACACTATTTTCAGTTAAAAAAAAAAAGCCAACAATCAATATTTGCAAAATGAAAAGGGACAAAAGCCATAGAAACTAGGTGATAACATCACCTTACCCCAGGATAGCATAGCAAGCATTGGCATCTGATAAAACAAAAAAATTCTGAATATTTTAGGGTGGTTAAAAGCTTGAGAACATTGTCATCCTTAGCTTGATAAGGGTCAATCGCTTATCGAGCACAGAAAGTGGGGGAGGTTGTGGGAAGGTATTCGCCACAGTCACCCCTACTTTACTCTCATGGGCCATGGTCCTCAGCACCTGTTATGGATCGCCAGGGGCACCAAGCGCCTGTGCCACCAGAATCAGGAATGTTCTGCAGAGTCCCAGCTGTTCAGAGTCTCAAGCCCAGCTCTGCCTCCTCATCATAAGGGTTCATGATTTTCCAGTAGTCAGGTCACCCTGGCATTTTGGGCAATAGTGAACCAAGTTCTTTTCATGGGCTGTTGCACTTAATCCTCATGTCAACCCCAGGTAGTGGATACTATGATGATCCCCACCTTATAGAGGAGGAAACACATGTTCCTCTGTAGTGACTGGCAGGACCCAACCTCTCTATGATGCAGATCAAGAGATCCCGTTCTAAAGAGGAATGGGCCTTCAGGGGTAAGAATAAGAGGTGTTTGCATTTACAAGATGAGCAGCTAATGAATGACTTGGGCGGTTTTCCTTCAAGAAGAACCACTTTTCTCTTCTGCCCAGACCTCCACAGAGGAAGCAGGGCAAGGTCACACCTTCCTCAGGGTGCTTTTCGTCACATGTCTGTCCTGCGTCACACCCAGCAGAGTGGGCAAGTGTGTTTCCTGAAGCGCCATTTCCCAAAGTCCTCTAGTTCTCTTAGGTTGTCTTGGTGGTAGAGCAGCAGCAGGCAGAGTTGCAGCCTCAGGTAAATCTGAGAAGCCTCCAACACTATATTCCCATTTGGAAGACTTATCCCACACACAGGCATATTCAACACTCTGACAAGTTCTACGCTAAGGAAACGTGCCTGACATTATTGAACCAACCTTCCCCAAACTTACCCCATCATAGACTCTTTTTGGTCTAAACTCCTATTAACATACTTTTGGGGAGGGGAGTGAATTCTTAAAAAAAAAAAAAAAAGGCAATGTTCTAAACACAGTCCTGGGATTAGTCCCAGAAGCAGCTGACGTAACAAACCCTCCCCACCCTTCCTCACCCTTGACTTTCTTTTAATGGCCAGGCCTGCGGCCTCCAAGCTGGCCATGAGCTGGCATTCTTGTATGCTTCTCCTTGACCACCCCCGGCACTGTGCAGTATAGACAGAGCATGAACGTCTCCTCCACCTGCCACCACGAACTCCTAGCCATTCCTATGAGTAATTCCGGAGCAAAGATTTAGAACACACTCATGAAGTTCTTCATAATACGCGGATTTAGAGAGATGACAGTTTCTCTCAGAGGGTTGGGCGTAGTTGTTCCAGCAGTCACCAGGTGTATGGATCCACCGAGTCAGGCTCGGCCTCACCCGCAACCACACTCCTGCTCGGGCCGGTGTCCGTGAAACAGCCTTGCTCCTGGGGCTGCTTTTCACCCACTCAGAGCCCTGGGATCTGAAAGGGTAACAGATGCTAACTGCAAAAATCCCAAAGAAGGGTCAAGGTTCCCACCTGTGTCCAGGTCAGGAACCAGGTTACGGCGTGGGGGGGTGTCTCCCACGGGCCTGTGTCAACCCCTCAAGGATGCTGCCCAAGAGGACAGGCACATAAGTGCGTAGAACCATAAACATGATTTCCCAAACCCCTCCCAGAGGGGGAGCAGGCCCGAGCAGCACCATGTCTACCTTCTTTTGGGCTTGGTCTGAATTTTTAAGAGAAGAAAGGCCTGATGTGATGCTGTCACCCCCAGGCCTTTCCTCAGGCCCCTCCCCCAGGCCGCCCAACCTCACTGCACATAAAGCCTGGTGAGGAACTGACCGTGCGCTCTGATTCAGCCCCTCTTGGCACCAGGCAGGGATGGGCAGTGCCACTGGCTGGCAAAGGCGTTCTCAGAGAGAAACCCTAGGTGTTGCAGGAAGTATTGTTTGTGACTCAGGTGGTAACAATCATAATATTTACCATGTTTATAATGCTCCCAGTTTCAAAGAGTATTTCACTCATTGCAACGTTAATTTCCCCAGCGCCTGCAGGGAGTCTCCACTTTTATGAGGCAACCAGGACACATAGGGTGACGTGCTTGAGGTCACATCGAGAATCCGCAGCTGAGTCAGGATTAGGCCTTAAGTCTTGGCTCCGGTGCGGCCGCATGGTGAGACGGCACTTCTTGGCCAGTTGATTCTGCGCCTCTTTCCTTGCGGGGCTTAGGGCAGAAAAATAGGTAGAGGTATGGCTGTTGTTGAAATTACTGCGGGCATGTACAGCCTCCAATTTTTGCAAATGGGGAGTTCATGCCAAAGTTGGTTTGTTCCTTGAGTGTTCGGCTCTGCCCATCTCAGAGTTCCTGTGTGTGACTGTGTTCAGTGTGTTTGAAATGGCTTGTGTGTGTCTGTGTGTGAACCCTAAACCAATCCCACCGTTGGGCACCATCAGACTTCTGCGCAACAGATTATTATGACTTTAAAGGGACAAGACAGTACATGTGTTCTGTGAACAGAGTCCAGCTTTGCTTTCTTTTTCACTTTCCTGCCTCTGCTGGTCTTCCTCAGCTCGGCTCTTTCCCCTCACCGGAGCGGTTTTGCTTGCCAGCTTATAAATACTCAAATAAGGCTGGTCATTGGCATTGATGTGAGAGGCCACCACGAAGGTGAAGGCCCACATCTTCCGAAGATGAGAAATGGGGAGGAGAGAAGACTCCTAATGTCAGACTCACGGAAACAGGGCCCAGCAGATATCGCAATGGTTTGAATAACCCACATAGACACAGCAGTGTGAAATATCACATTGGGGCCAGGGGGAGATGGGGGGAAACATCCTCTTTTTCCTGCTAGGCTTAAAAATCTCAGGAAAATGTTGGCTCATCTACTCCATGATGCCAAAAATTAGTTTTGGATGATCAGGTCCTGATTGTTCTTCTAGCTTCTTGTTCTGTTCTGGAGATGTGTAGCGGTAGAAAAAAAATTACATGAAGACACAGGATTCCATTGACTGGCATGAAATTTGAAGAGGCAGTTACTTTCTTAATTGGAACCACAGGCCTTTGGAAGAGAAAGAACCAGATGTCCAGTACAGAGTTATGCAATGAAGGAAGTGAGCTACTGATCAGTTAATGCTCTTACTCAAGAGAAGGGGTTCTTACCATTGAGGGGAAAGTGCATGTCCCTTTCTTAGACAGCGAGACACTGTTGGACACTGGAGATTGGTGGATGACATTGTAGAACCCAGGACCTGGGACTTCATCCTGAAAGGGAAGAGAATGGGGCATCATCAATACACTGGACCCCAGTGTGTTTTGCTGCTGTGGACACTAAACCTCGGTGTGATCCTCCAGC